ACATGGACAAAAAACACATCATGTAATCACACAGGAACAGAAACCAAAAAAAGAAAAAAGGAAAAAAGAAGAAGAAAAACCAAGAAAACCTGCAATATCTGGGGATAGGGCACGAAGAGAAAAAAGGTAGAGAAGGAGAATAATGAAGGGAAAAAATGGGAAAAATGCAAAAAGAAAAACAAAGATTGGGGTTAACCACCAGAAAAAGGGAGGGGGGAGAAAAAACTTAAATTAAAAAAAAAAAATTTTTCAACCAGGAACAGGGTAAAGAAAAAATGCTGAAAACTAGGACCTGGGAGGGGAAGAATAATAGTAAAAAGGACAAAAGTATTAATAATAATAGCTGTTTTAAAACAGACAAATGTAAGCAAACTAATCACCAGAAAAAATAAAACGAGAAAGAAAAAAAATAAAAATAAAAAAAAAATCGGTGGAGGACAGGGCAGGGCACCCAGGCTCTGTCTCAGCACACAGGCTGTGATGGAGTTCTTGTGGGCCCAGAAGGTAGGTGGGAGTGGGGGTGGCTGCACCTCCATTCAACAAGCGGGTGTGGGGTATAAGAGTAACAAGAGGAATGTTGCACCTTTTCAGTCTTATAGGTCTGGAGTGTCCTTGGGGTTGCTGGCAAGCAGAACGTGTTCTTAAGCCCCAGGAATCTGTGAGAGCACTGTCTCTTTAAATATCCAAAATAGTCAAGCCGCTTTTAAACCTACAAAATAGCGGTGCCCTCTGGACCAGCAAAAGTCCACAGCTCAGCCCACCTTTCTCTTCACCTTCTCCGTTTGTTCCCCAGCCACCGTGCACAGTCCTCTGTACAGTCCCTGGCTATCCGGGTGATTTTTAGGTTAATTCTTAGGTCCTACCACCACTCGGGAATCTCCACGCTGTCTGTGCCATGCTGTCAGGATTGCTCAGGATCGCTGCCAGACCACAGTTCCGTCTGCCTCCTTTTTTGGCATTTTCATGCAAATTCTTCTGCTAGTTGGGGTTTAGTCCACTTCTATATCCTTCCCTTCAAGGCTCAGGAGTCCAGGATTATCTTCTCTGTCTGTGTTAATTGTTTTCCCCCCTCTTTGTTGAAGAGGGTCTGTGAAGTCTTTCTGCCTAGTCTGCCATCTTACCAGAACTCTCCAGCAGTCAGCTTTCTTGATCTGTGGGCCAGGAATCCACTGCGCTGTTTCCTGCTGGTCTCCTGGTTCTGCTGCCACCATTTCTCTTCCACTGCTTCTCACCATCTATTGCTGTCTCTCCTCTCTCTCTGTGGTGTTACAGTTCTCTGTGTCCTGGATCTTACGTGGTCCCCAGTGCAGGGATCCTAGGCCAACGGATGCAGTCCACTTCCATCTCTCCTTCTTGATGGTAGTCAGATCTCCCCTTTCTGCCTCAAAGATGGCTCATTTTAAACTTAGAGGGATGACTATCCAGGCTAATCCCCCCATTATGGTTCCATATACTTTATTTGCATGGCCCCATCCCTACAAAGGTGCTGTGCATCTTATTTACATTAGTAGTAAGCTATCCACAAGCACCTTATTTGCCTAGTCCCAACAGTTATCTGGTGGGAGTCACAAAGACCATGGCTAGAAGGACAATGTTAAGTAATTCACTGCACCACAGCACCCAAAAGTTCCTTTTAGTTTTTATACTAAGAAAATAAAAAATACCCTGGGAAACCTAAGGGTACTGCTAATGAATCAAAGAGTAAAAGTAATTTATGGTAAGGCCATTGGTGGAATTTCATGTAACCATTACCAATTCTGAAGACTCTGTACTAACATGAACAAAAGAAGGCTAAAAATGCAGCCATGTATTCTTATGCACAGGGAGACAGCTCAGGGGGCAGGAGTGTATGGAGGTATGGACACTGGGAAGAGGTAACTATGGGGAGGAAGTGGGAGGGGAACTGTAGCATTGTAAATTTTGGTCAATGACATGAGACAAACTATATGTGAACTGCTGTATGAAAAGTGAATTTACTCTGTAAATCTTCACCCA